ACTTGTGCTACAAAAGAAATAATAATAATGAAAACCTAGAACCCGGTTTTCTTATGCCCAAATAGTTTCGGACATGTGAGCATCTGCAGCAGCGTCTACAAAATACTGAGAGCAAAGTCTCGAGTATAAAACAAATTCACTACTAAAAATAACCCGACTCAAGTCCTTTTCATAGTTCTCTGAGCCCACCCCGTGGGTGTGGGCATTTCTGCATTCTGTCTGAACCTTTCAATTCAGATAGATGTGCAGCCTTCAAGTAATCACGAAGCAGCATTTCTTGTAAAATATGGGAATGGATTACCAAGAGTTCAAAGACATAGATATTTTCAGGTTTATAAAATCATTCCCTTGATTTTCTAAAACAGTAATTAATATATACACCCAGACTGAAGTTATAACATCTCCATCATCAAAAACCTTAAACATTGACTACAAATTTGTCCTACATGCCAGTCTTAAGGCCAGTTGCTTTATTAAGAGGGAAGTGAACACTTAGAAATCCATGGAGTCATGTGTGGTGAAGCCCTGACTCCTCCGTTCCCCAGGAAGCTGCACTTTAAAACATGAACAACTATGAGAACACTCCCTACTGGGTAAAGACAACATGCAGTCATGTACATCAATGCATTTGGAATACACATAATATACGTAGATGCTCAGTAATCGTCAGGTGCCGTTACTGTTCTTTTAGTTTGACTTTCATTCTGGAGCTCAATGGAAATTTAAGAGGTTGCATGTGTAATTACCAAATACTATTCTGACATTTTAAATTGCTTGGTATACACTTGAAAATTTCATTCAAATTCAGTTCTGATTTTATTGATGTACTTTCAGTTTGTTTCACCTATTATACACCAAGATTATCTAATATATAAATAAGACAGATAGATCATCAAATTTACCAACAAGTATGTATGTTTCTTTCATGACCTTAGGTGTTCTGTTGAGTTTAAAGAGTGAATGTTAAATAATTATATGGGCTCTGAGATGCTACAAGGACTTAGAACCTGAGTTCATCTCACAATCTGCAAACTCCTCGGAAGTGGAGTCATGTTTTTTTCTGGATCCCCAGCAGAACTTAACATAGTCTTCAGTAGAAAGGGGATGAAGAGTAACTATGCTGAATGAACAAACATATTTATTTAGGGGCATTCTAGAGTAGAAGGTCTACTTGATTTGGTCAAGACTGTATTTTGTTTGTCTATGAGACCTCTGATTTCAGCACAGTGCCTGGAATAGAGCAGAAGTTTAATCAACTAGTTTGAAAGAATTATAGCCTCAACTAAGAGTCTGGCTTTCATAGAATAAGGTGTATAACTCTTGATAAAAGTAACCTATGAACATGAACATTATTTTACATGAATTCTCCCAAACATAATATGAATCACTTGTTACCACTGCATTTCACAGTTAATTTTCCATTGGGGATTCTACAAGTAATTAATATCAGTTAACTGAAATGTCATGATTTCATTTTCTTATTCAGCCTCTGTCAAAAATGTTATTAGTGAAATGGCCAAGAGGGAATAAAACAAGTGGGCAGAGTGTTCTGGACAATCATGACATTAATCCAGACTCAACCTTCAGCTTATGAATAGTTATACTTTTTCAAGAGTATTTATTAAAAATATAGGGGGATGAACTAAAAAAAATTCTGAGGTAGAAAAAAAATATGAGAATTTTTAAGGAAAAGTGACATTTAAAACCAGTAGTGTATAGAAGGAAACTCTACTCTGATTAGATAATTACATTGGTACTTACCTATAGACTAAACAATATAAATTTCACAAATACAAAATAATATGCTCAAAATACATATGTATTTAAAAAGTATTTGTAGGAATACACAATTAAAGAAATGGAAGTGAACTTAGTGATTTCATGTAAAGTCCTAACTCAAAAAGAGTCAAATGGTCTTAAAACACTGATGATGTCTTCAAGAAAGGAGCAAGCGAAAAACCCTATTACCTCCTTCATTTCTGCCCTTTTGCTGTATTGGCCACAATCATCCTTCATTCCCTTTTAACATTAACAAGTATTAGCTTTAACCCAAAACTCCCTCAGATAGATACAATGTAGTTTTCTTTTACAATAAGCCTTTACTGAATATATCAACATAGTACCATATGGTGTAGAGTGAATTAATAGTAAACAAAGTGTGCAGCATGACAGGTCTCTGAGGTGAGTGATGCGGGGTCTTCCAGCCCCTTGCAGTCCCTTGTCAGTGAGAACACATTAAACACAAACCAGCAGCAACACATGTGACTCAAATAAGAACGAATCACCAGGATTAACTTTCAGTGAAGATATGCTGGTCCTCTGAGGGACACACAGTGGCAACACCTTCAGCTTGCCTCTTAAAGGCAGTAAATATGACACCCTGCAGATATATCTACAAATACTCCAGTGTGTGCGTGTGTGTACACATGTGTTTTACACATGTTTAAAAATCCCTGTTGTAATGACCTTACTTTGTGCTCTCGTGCTCTTCTGGTAGTTGTGCTGCTAGAAAAATGAGATGTCTAACAAAATAATCAGATTTGTGTGTTTTAAGAACAGTATCATACATGTACAAAACTTCCTCCCCACAATTAGTGACAAGTGTCCCATATGCAGGCACGGTCTTTCAACCTGCTGAAGAAATCAGAGAAGGAATTAAGTGACAGCTTCCCATATTAGTATTCTGACTTAAAAGTAAGAGCATCCAGCAAGGCTCGACAAGATTAAGAACTGGGAAGGGTCTTTTGTGCGTCTTGTGCATGCGTCTTTTCCCAATTGGGCACTCTTCCCTCCTTTGCTCTCCCACCAGCTGGAAAGGTAAGTCATGAACAAAACGGTTATTTTCACTTTCCAAAGTGGAACTTAATGCCTCCTTGTTATAGGTTAGAGAACAATGCTATGAGGACAGAAGTCAATGGAAATCCACCACTTCACTGTCAAAAGTTGCAATGGGCTCTGCAGCTGAGGTTTGCTGGTCAAGGGCCGCCTCTGCTCCCGGGACTGCACCAAAGTTGCCTGTGTTTGGGAGGATGCTCTGCTCACAGGGGCGGTGTAGACACCTCAGCGGGGAAGGAAGCTCTGACTCCTTAGGGAATGTCTAAGACCAGGATGATCTGGGCTAGGAAATGGGGCTGTAGCATTCACTACTTCATTCACTTACCAGGCTGGTCACATGACACTTGTTTTTTAACTGCAGGAAAAAATGTCTACTATATTTTCAACCCACAGCCGGATAATTAGAAGTTGCATTATTTCTCACAGGGCAGAATGCTTTCCAGTTGTTACACCAGGAAAAGAGGCTAGGGAACACAGTCCTGTCTCTACCTGTGACTGGCCCAGTTGATGGGCCATTCATGTGTCAGACAGTCTCTAGTAAAGTCCAGGCACGGTCCTTCAACCTGCTGAAGAAATCAGAGAAGGAATTAAGTGACAGCTTCCCATATTAGTATTTTGACTTAAAAGTAAGAGCATCCAGCAAGGCTCGACAAGATTAAGAACTGGGAAGGGTCTTACTCCCCATGATCACACACAACTCCCTCAACAAGCAGGTAGTAATGACAACCATGGGCATGAATACTGGTCAGGAATATCTCTATGATCATAACTACGCCTTTTCCTTTGGAATCTCCTCTGCACAGTGGCCGCCTGCTCTCTGAAATCACCTCACTCAGACAGACGGCATCAGGCTCTTTATAAGCCACTCAGGATGGCTCTGTTTAACCTTCACTCTCGTCTAAACACCTCCAAATACATAGTAATGCCAGCAAGAGAGGGTAAATACAGGGCAGATGGATCAACAAAAGACATTCTCAAGACTAAAAATGTCAATCAAAGCGTAATCCACCACTGAGGGTTGCTGAGCAGTTTTCCTAACACACATGACAAATCTCAGGCTGTGCTTTGTGTCCTGAGGCAGGTGAGAGCCCCTGGCACGCTATCACACGCAGGGGGCCGACTGTCATTTTGCTCACTTCGCCATGTTGGGCACAACATGAGAGCGAAGCAGGATGTCAGATTCTACCTCTTCAGGAACCCCTTCTAGCTAAGGAACCTTTAAGGTCATCCTAAGCATTTCACAAGACTAGATCCCCAATGCACCACCTAAGCCCCAGATGATTCCGTGAATCCCATAAGACAGTAAAGACACCCCTCCAGCCTTGGTCTTCTTGGCCCAGAGCAGATAATTTCAGCAGCCAGATATCCCGCTAGGGGTTATACACACAACACAAATAAATAAGGATTATCTTGTGAATAAAAGAAAGAAAACCTCAAAGTACCATCATTTGAGCACATAGTTTTATCTACACAGCCAAGGGGAAGAGGGCAGTGGAAGGGAATTATTCAGTTAATTACACAAAACCCCATGTCATTGTTCTGACTTAGATGGCTTACTGCTTCGCCGATCACCTTCACAGATGGTCTTATCCCTTCAGTGCATGGACCCAGCTCCAAAAAGCCACAGCCACACTCACTAGCTAATCAACTAAAATGGAAACCAAAATCACTGTAGAATTAAGTGAAATTAATTCATAGTTAATTTTGGCTTAACTGACTACACAGTTTCAAGTCTTGTGTCTAGAATATTATATCTTCAGTTATATTCTGAGGTATGTGGGAGAATAAGTTGTAGCTCTATTATTAAAAAAAATAAAGCTCTTGATATAAAGAAAAAACTTGTATAACATGTTTATATCTAAACTTTACAAAGTAGACACATCACAGTTCTATTTTGTTATAAGAGAGAGAAAGCACAAAATGATTGTGGCATTAACTTTACAGGAACCTATAACAATGGCTAGTGTTAGGGGAAATATACAACACAGAGTGAAATGCCTAAATCTGATATTGAAAAGAATTTCCCAAGGGTGTATTTTTTAGATAACATATGTGATCTATGATTCTTAAATCTAAGAGAAAGAAAGGAGTGAATCACTAATGCCTTCTGGAATTAGGCATGAACAACTTTTCTTCTCTACACCTCTGTTCTGTAAGAAGCTATACTAGGCACTGGTGTAAAAACACGACAAAAAATTCAAATTCATGTCCTTGACAGCCATCCCCCAGCCTTGCTCAGGGCCTTGGCACATGAATCCTTCCACAGTGAGAAATGAAGGGGTAGATTTGAGCCATTTTGTGACCCATTTAATACTGTAGTCACAAAACCAAGGATTATTCCAAGCAGTGAGTTGCTTCAGGTTAGAGAGATTGTCAAAGACCCCTTGAGTCAACATGCGCAGCTGGTTGTTGGATATATCCAGCCGTTCCAGCTTACGGAGATTCGAGAAGGCTGTTAAAGGGATGTGATTTATCTGGTTGTCCTGCAGATACAGTCGGAGCAAGTAAGCACCTGGGAGGCCAGATGGGGGGTGTGAGAGAGAATTCCTTACAATTGAAAATTCCTTGAGCTTGGTGAGATGGCTGAAGGTACCCTTGGCAATACCTTGGTTGGTCAGGTTGTTCCCATCCAAAATCAGACACTCCAAACTCCTGAGGTTCTGAAAATCCATGTCTGATATGACAGAGATTCGATTTTCATCTACTCTCAGCTCTCGCAAGTCAGCTGGAAGCCCAAAGGGTACTCTGTTCAGGTGATTCTTGGATAGAAACAACAACTTGAGGCTAATGGCCTCCCAGAAGGCGCCATCTTCCACCCCCACTGTGGATATAGAGTTGTCATCCAGGTGTAGCTCTTCGAGCTTCAAGAGCTGGGCAAGAGCTGCTCGTGAAATGGTCTGAATGTTGTTTTCCTGCAAATGGAGAACTCGAACATTCTTGGGAAGGTTCATGGGGAATTCATCCAGTTGGTTGCCATAAAGGTAGACCGTGTGCACTGACCTTAGGTTGTGCAGTTCTGCAGGAAATCCAGCATTATTAATTTGGTTGTTTTGGAGGTAGAGGACAGTTGCACCCTCCGGGATCCCAAGAGGCACTGAGGTCAAGCTTCGCTCGTTACAGTAGACAAAGTTCCTGTCACAGCGGCACACGCTGGGGCACGCCAGGAGTTTTGACACTTGTGAAGAGAGCCCCAGAGAAATGAGAAGCCAAGATTTCAGGAAAAAAGCCCCATGGCTGGGCCACTGTGTGGTCTGTAGGCCCATTTCTGAAGTACAGAAAGCAAATACAATGTGGTGGGGAAACGAAAACCAAAAATAGATGGCAAATCCAAAATGACCGGATGGAGTTCTGTCAGAGTCCAGAAATCCAACTAGAGGAAAAGTCCCAAAGGCCCACGGTAGAAGAATCTTCCTGCGGTCTCTGGTCTTACCAGCCTGTGTTGACCTCCTTGCTGTTGTCCTCCATGTGCAAAAAAAGATGTTAAAAATTCAACAGAGAGAATTTCCTACACCAGCGAGCAATGAAGGCAAGTTATCAGCGGTCAACAGGGGGCCTGGTGGGCAGGCAGAACACCCGTCTTCCGTTGTTCGTCAAAACAGCGTTGGGCAGTCTGGGAACTTCTCAGTGAAGCTCAATCTGCAATCTGTGCAGGAAAGCAGAGAGAGAAGAGTCAGTTAAGGGTAGTAACGGAGGACGTGTTGACCTGACTGTGCTCCTTTCAAGAATGATTTCACTGGACTAAATGACTAGCGGCAGGCAGGTGATTGGCATTAAGTGATACTTTAAGTAACAATAATTTAGTTGAAGAGGTATTCAAGAAATGAAAACGACTCAACTGTCTTCAAAAGGAAACCATACTGTTACCTCTCATTATCAATGATTATATATTGAACTTTACAATCCCAGTCAGGGTCATCTCGTAAGTACCTATTTGCATACTCAAATAGACAGGTACATCAATGAATCCTCTGATTCAAATAACAACATTACCAACAAATCCAATTGGGTGAAGTTTTGTTTCAAGATGAAACATGTGAATGAGGAACTAGTAAAATTTAAGGGAAAAAAATGTGAAACCCCTTCAAGGGATACACAAACAAATGGGGACCAACAAAGTCAATTAAAAAGATGCAGACTTTTGAGCTGACACCTTGAGGAAACATGATCAACTTAAGACAGAGAAGTATGTGTGAAGGCAGAGAGAAGACTTTTCTTCCCATTCTTGCCTCCTCTCATATTCTGTCTTCCTCTAACATAGCTTACATCCTGGTCACCAAGGAATGGCCACAGTCCAACCCAGTACACATTTTCACTCAACCCCTCCTCGGGTACCTCCAGGTATAGATGAGACATGCTATTGTGACCCCTTTGAGAGCTGCAAAATTTGTGACTGGGAATGCATTCTTTTTCAACGACACAATCTTCTTTCCATCTGTGAGATTTTCCTGCTTTTAAAGCAGGACTTTCAGTAAAGTTTGAAATGAAAGAAGACACAGTTACAGAAGTAAAGGCAACCTACAGATAGTACTCATGCCTTCATGCTCCAGAACTCGTTCCAACTCTTTTCAGATTAGAGAGGTAAAGAAGTTAATTGAAAGGTGCCAGATTTGATTTTCCTACAAAATAAGCTAACATGACAGGACATGGAAACTATGAGTCTCTTAATTCTCACCAATGTCCAGAGATTAAAACAATTTATATCGAAAATCACAGAGGAACTATTTGAAATTGTTCCCTTAGCTTTCTTTAGAAACATAATTTAAAAGAGAAAAAAATTGTTAATGCTTTTTAAGTGTCAAAGATATTGTAAACTCTTTCTACAATTAAAAAAAATTGTGAACCATCTAAAAAAAGTCTTTGATTACCAGAAATGGTAAAATTCATTATTTATTTTTCAGAAACCTTTTTACAAAAGGTGTGGTCAGATTCTCTTTCCAGACAAAATGAGATAGATATGATACTTTATTTAAAAATCAAACATAATTTGATTTGGTAAACTTACAAATATGGGGCTTGCCACTGAACAGGAACCATTCTCTTCTAGAAAAATTCCTCTATACTTAAAGAATAATGTATAGTACAACTAAGGCAGTATAGGAAAAATGAGTTTAATTTGTAAGTTTGATGCCATCCTTAGATCAGATTTCAAATTTTCAAAGCATCTCAATGTTCCCTAACTGCTTGTTACTCAAGTACAACCTTTGGTCCAGAGCGTGAGCTAGACCTCAGAAATTGTTGAAAATACAGAATCTACATGTCAGTGAGAGCCTCGGGGGGAACATTAAAATTTGACAAGCACTGCCTGCAACAGTGCCATCTTATTTAATCATTCAAATGTTTTAAATGATCACATGTAAAATATATGTAAGAGCATGTCCAATGACTTGAGAGAAGTAAAGCATAAGGCATACTCACCACTTCTCTCTCCAACAGACCATCTCAAATTACACCCTACATGTATGTAAATGACATTTTATCGGTGGAGCAGTGCAATGGCTATTTATGCCACCTGGCCTCAGGGGATTCTCTCCTTCCTCACAGTTGTATAAACTATTTATCAACAGACAAGGCCTGCAGGTGTATTTCTTCTTGGACACACCCTCAGTGTGACTCCAGAGGTCCGTGGTCTTGGTGTGCTGGCCTTGAACATGAAGACCCCAGAAGGGACACAGCTCTCTGCGGGCCTGAATTTTCTTCATCCACTCCAGGTGTTCACAAAACTTGTTGTTCAGACGATTGCCCAGGACCTGGCTGTATTTTCCATCCTTCACATCCTTCTATCTGTTGAAGAACCAGTCTGCAGTCTTGCACAGGCCCTAGTTCTGCGTCGCGGTGATACCCCCTTTCTCCTCCCCTCAGTGAGCTCACCTGCTCCCCACCACAATGCATGTTGTCGCCTCGCTTGCTTCATTGCAGTGATTTCAAAGGCTATTTACCATTGCCCATCGACATCGGTGTTAAGTCCTCCAGCAAAATATACTGGAACTTCTCAGGAATCTCTAGAGACATGGCTCCAATGGTGTGTAGTAGGCCTTCTGAGGAAGAACCTCAGTGGACTCCTGAAAAGTGTTTCTCTAAATGACAACCACTATTGTCTAATAGGAGTCACTGGTAATCAGAGGAGCACCCTCTTCTAAAGCATGATTTATTTAAGAACAAAGAAGCTATTTGGTCCAGAGGAATCTTCAAAGTGTGATGTACACACACAGTGCATAAAATTTTCTAAGGGGGAAAAACAGCCACACCAGGGTCTCTGAGTAAGTTCCTATGTACAAAGAACCAATGCTTCACTGTGCTTGCATATTAAGTTTTTAGGGCCTGAAACCACTACCTGAGGATGACAGAATTTACTTGGAAAGTTCCTCAGCTAACAGTTTCAAAGCAAAAATTGCTGGATGTTAATGAAGTTCTCTGGAATGACCTGGGGACTTTCACTAAATACCCAAATTGTAGATTTTCCACTTGCCTGAGTTGTGCCTCTGGAGGAAGAAGAGGAGTAAGTCCCTCTGCTCCAGACCCCACGCCCTTGCAGGTGTATTTTATTATAACTGTTTCTTCTCTACTTACATAAGAAGAGGAAGTAGTCCTGAAAAGGCTCCTCATAGGATTACAAGAGGCAAACTGTTACTGTTTATCCACCTTCCTGGGAGAACAGTTCCATCTTTATCACAATGTGTTGATCAGCTATGACAAATGCAAGTTGGAATGAAAACAAACTCAGGGTTTTCTCTGAGCTTCTTGGGAACCTCGCAAAACAAGAGTGCACAGTAGATTTGCTCTCATCCTTGGATCAACAACAGCCTACATATTATGTCAGCCAATATATTGTATCTCTGTTCCAAGTAACACAAGTATAAAATTACAAACATGTAGAAAAAATATTTTTGAGTTTCAGTAGGCAAAAATTTCCTATGTTCAGCTCTGATTCTTACTGAATGTTTAAGGAAGAAATCCTTTTAGACTTTTATCTGGAGACTGTATTTACAGAAACAGTGGCACAGATTGAGAGTCAAAAGGCCGGGCCCTGAAACTTCATCCCACTTCTGACCCTCAGTAACTCTGGGACTTTGGATAAATTAACCTTTTAAGTCTCAGTCTCCTCATATGAGAAATGAGGATAATACAGTTCCTAACTCACAGCACTCTTGGGAGGATTAAGTTGGATAATGTTGTGAAAAGCTTACATGGTGTCTTACACATGACCAAAACATAATATTTTAAATGGTTATTCTCTGTGTACTTGTTATTATTAGTACTACTCAAAGAGGTAAACTCCAATATGTGAAGGAAAATGAAATCACCTTTTTCCTGCCAATGTCTGTGCCCTTTCCCTTACCCCAGGATATTTCAGCCTCACAATTGTTGACATTTAGAGCTCATAAGTCTTCTTTTTTTAATCCTCACTAAAGGACATTTCTTTTTTACTGCTTTTTGGAGAATGCAGAAGGAGGGTGGGGGGAGAGAGACAGAAAGAAACATTGACGTGAGAAAGAAACATCGGTCACTTGCCTGCAGTAAATACCCCGACCAGGGAGCAAACCAGCGACCTAGGCATGTGCTCTGACTTGGAATTGAACCCACAAGCTTTTAGTTTACAGGACAAATCTCCAACCAACTGAGCCACACAGGCCAGGGCAAACCTGATAACTCTTTTGTTGTGCGGTTGCCGTGAGCACACAAACACGTCTCCAGACAGTGCCATTGTGTATGTCTCCTAGGATAGAAAAACCTCCCCAAGTTGAGAACCATTCACCTGTCCCATCTTCTAAGTATCTTAGAAGGTTAACATTATTACGCTGATTTTACAAAAGAAATTGAAGGTAAGCTGCTAATAAAAGGAACGTGAAAATGCTCCTTGCCATGGACACTGAAAATGCAATATGTATTTCATTTATTTCTTCAACCAATATGTATTGGGCACTAGAATGAGGATACAGTCTCTTGCAGAGCTGATGCAGTTTTTAGCATCGCGAGGCTTACTGTTTAGTGAGGGGGGAAAACTGAAGAGGCAGGGGGTGACGGCACTGTGTCAGCAGCACTAACCTTGGGGCATCAGAGGACTGCGGTGCTGTTCAGACAGCTCCAGCGTAGCCCATGCAGTGTCAGGAAAAATGCTCAAGGAGAGGGACTGTCTAAGTGATGATCGAAAGGATGAGAATGGGCAAGCCAGGGAAGATTCAAAAACTTCTGCACATGGAACCAAGCCAACTGTAATGCGGATCAAGAGGCAAATCCTGGACCAGCTGAAAAAAGGAACAGAACTTTTAACTTCCCCCCAACCTTGTCTGCTCCTCACTGAGGTAGTCCTGTTTCCAGATCACAGAAAAGCTCATGTTTCAGTATCATTGACCATTTCATTTTTAAGTATCTACTGTTGGAAATAAGATGATTTTTGCTTCCCAAGATAAATTTCAAATGCTGACTGCAAAAGTTGTGTTTTTTTTCCTATTTGTTTGAATGCTGCCTTGACTATGCTTCCCCTTCAGAAAAGTGAAGAATATGGAAGTTGGTTTCAGGAAGGTGCTGGTGAAAAGGGAAATTTTTATTTAAAAGAAGAAAACTATTTCAAAAGCCTGGTGTAAATCAACATGCAACCAATGCTTTTTGGAGACAGCAAGAGGTGGCCCTACCAGTCTGGTCAAGATGACAGCAACAGCAGAGGTTTTGCCAGACAACTACTCTCTTGGTTGGGACTGAGACTCAAAGCTCACAAATCATGGAAGAGCTTTCTGCAAAGTATATCCTTCCTAGCGCTGCCTAACTGTGTTTTTGTTGTTGTTGTTGTTTAAATAATTAATTCCAGG